TGTCTTATGGGTGTTGGAAGCTGAGCAGCCAAACGCATTCTCTGATAAGATAACCAAGTCCTGAACTATTTCTATAAACTGGAGTAAATTGTGCAAGTTGAAGGAACCACAGCCTGATGAATATGTGGGAAGCCCTGCAACAAAGCTGGCTGGTGACAAAAAGAAAAAGAAATGGGAAAAAAATCCAGGAATGGGGAGGGATCCCAAAGATGGCTTTCCCAGAGAAAGCAGCCTGCAGGGGTGGAGTAGCACTTTGGTTTAGCCATACAAATACCTTTGCAATACCTTGATGATTTCTTGCAATACCTTTATGAGATTTTTCAAAAGTTACAAACAAGGCAAGCTTCTCCAGAACCCTTCATCTGACAAAGATGATGTTAAGGCATTATTTTATATGGTCTCTGGTTGACCAAGAGTTCTGCAGAACTGACAAGCTGGCCTTTTTTGTAAATCTGAAGTGATCCAGTAAAGCTATTACTCAATCCAGAACTTAGTTTGTCAGCTAGTGGTGGATGAGGAAGCCCCACCACTGCCTCTATTTTCTGCTACCCATAGAAACATAGAATAATTGAGCTGGATGGGATCTAGAAGGCCAGTGAGTCCACACACCCCCTGCAGAGTACAGGAATCCAAATTAAAGCAGATCTGGCAGAGGGTTGTCCAATTTTCTCTTGAATGCCTCCAGCATTAGGGTGATCATCACTTCCTGAGGCCATGGCTTCTGCTGTTCTGCTCTAACATTTAAGGAAGGTTTTCCTGATAGTCATCCGAAATCTGGCTTCCTGTAACTTGAACCCATTGTTGTGTTTCCTGCACTCAGGGATGATCAAAAACAGATCCTGTGCCCTTTACTTTACTTTTTACTTTATTTAGACTTATACCCCGCCCCTCTAGACAAAGTCTACTCCGGGCGGCTCTGCCCCCCCTCTGTATGACAATCTTTCAAGTAGTGCTATCATATCTCTCCTCAGTCTTTTTTTCCTCAAGGTTAAACATGACCAGTTCTTTTAGTCTTTCCTTATAAGACTTTGTTTCCAGTTCCCTGATCATCCTTGTTGCCCTTCTCTGAACTTGTTCCAATTTGTCAGCTTCCTTCTTGAAGTGTGGTGTCCAGAAGTGGACACAATACTCAAGGTGAGGCCTAACCAGTGCTGAATAGAGGGAGACTGGCACTTCGTGGGATTAGGAAACTATACTTCTGTTCATGCACCCAAAAATAGCATTTGCCTTTTTTGCAGCCACACTCTTGGCTCATATTTAACTTTTGATCTACAACAATTCTAAGATCCTTCTCACTTGTATCCCCCATCTTTTAACTGTGTTTCGGGCGCCCTGGTGTAGAACTTTGCACTTATCCCAGCTAAATTTTATTCTAGTTGTTTCCAGCCCATGTCCCACAACAGGTACTGCATGGAAGGCAGGGGGTTGGAATAAAAGGATCGTGATGGTACCAGCGATGGAGGCTAGCTGTTTTGGATTGCCCCTGGTTCGCTACAGGACTCAGACTTCACACAAACATGACTTAAAGGCAACCAGCCAGATCCGAAACAACTTTCTGCCATCATTATCATCCTCTTCTTTTTAACATGATGCACACATATGCAACCATATTATTTCAGGTTTTTTATTTTTACTTCCCTCCCCCTAAAAGATTTCATTTTGTTGTTCAACTGAGTTGTACAGTTCATAGGTCTCATTAAAGGTGGAAAAAGTTCTGAAATGATTTATCTTTGTCTCATGTTTTTACATCAAGACACTTGACATTTTAACAGAGGTGTGTAAACTTTTTATATCCACTGTATGGCAGGTCCCAGCATGAGTTCTAGGATCTCTGATAGACCCCTGCCTGGAATCCCAGACATTTTATAAAGATTGGCCAATGATGGAAAACAGTGCATAAAATTTGACAGTCTCCATGAAATTAACTTTTTTGTAGCTTTCAAGACTTGTTATGAGAAGGAATGTAGCTTGCTTTGAGAGTGCTTTCATTTGTGAACCAGAGAAGGCATTTTGGAAAAATGAAATGTCCACAAATCCCTGTGTGGTTTAAAAAATGCAAACAGTGAAACGTGCACATTGAGGGGGGGGAAATGCTCCAACATGATTTGATCAAATGGGGGGGGGAATGGTGCACATTTATTAAGTGCATGAATCAATACACAAATCAGAAGCTTATTCTGCTCATGAATTTGATTCAGGAAGAAAATAGAATATTTTGATTCAGGAAGAAAATAGAATACAGTATTTTGCTGCAGAAGATAAATGGACGGGTAGAAAATGCAGGCGGGGTGGAGAGAAATATAGTGAAATTTGACTGGAGAGTGTCACAGCCTTATGAAAAATCACAGACAAGTCAGCATAGAGGGGAATAATGAACTAGAGTGATCAATGATTTTCCTTGGAATAAAGCAGCTCCTTTTATTATAATAGATGGTAGCTTCTTGAACAAAAAGTTTCTTCTAAATCAGTCTGTCCTCATGTAGCACACTCTTCAGATGTTTGGGACTCGGCTGCCCATTACCCTGATCCTTAGGATTGATGGGATGTAGAGTCCAAAACAACCCCATTGTGTTTCTAAACAAACAAATCAAACAGTAGCTAGGTAATGAAGAAGGTGAGGGTGTGATAACACAGGGAAATAGATCTCAATTGGAACAATGGCCTCGGGAGGTGGTGAGCGCTGTGGGAAATAGATCTCAATTGGAACAATGGCCTTGGGAGGCAGGGAGCGCTGTGGCGCTGGAGGCATTCAAGAAAAAACTGGACCACCCTCTGTCAGATGTCCTTTGATTTGGATTCCTGCCTTGAGCAGGGGGTTGGACCTGATGGCCTTCTAGGGTTCTATAACTGGACTGCTTGTGTCCAGTGCAACCTATTTCTCATTGATCACACAATGTACAGGGAATTGTGTTCCATCCCAATCCTGATCCATGTCCAAACCTTTGGAACCAACTTTTTGGTTCAGCTGTAGGACTTCTACATGTTCAGGCCAGGCTGGAGATCAAAGGGTCTATTTAAGGGAGATAATTCCCAGTAAGGCAACTCTTTCTGGTACTGTCAGGTATCTGTCTTTGCAGACTTCTTGATTGCACCCAAACACAGGATTAGATAAACATTAGATCGGCAGAACCATAAGAACAAAAGAAAATCCACAGGCAGACAGGAATGAAAACTACACAATTAGATTAACCAAATTTTATATCTGTGCAATCTTTTGAGTAACCCAGAACTCTTCATCAGGTGAGATGGCTTAATATTCAAACTGGAGAGAAATAGGGGAGATGAAAATCCAGAATTTGAGTCCGATGTTGTATCCATGCAATTAAACTCAGTGGGAACCGCGGAATAATTGGTAGACACAGGGTGAGGTTACTTTATTTAAATGAATCAAGAGTTTGATTGGAGCTATTTGAAATTGCTTTAAAATCCCACCGTTGTCATGTGGTCTTTGTGTTGCTGCATGCATTCTAATGGGACAATTTGTGGTCCAATTTTGAATTGTGCAGTATATCGGTGCAGGGGACAACGTGGGATTTAATATGGCTATGGGGGATTCTTGTTTATATTTATTGATATATATTTCTAGCTGGCTGTCCCAACCATGCAGATTCATCATTTTGGGTGGGGGCATGCATACTGATCTGCCAGCCCCCTCTTCATCACCCTTCCCTTCCTTCCCCTGGCTCACCTTGCCGGCAGCTGTGGGTGCCCACCCTTAGCAGTTACCTGCTCCTCCCTTTCCCCCACCCAGATCTGCCTTTGTTATATATTTTAAAAGGTTACTTTCCCACACTTGGAGGGTAATCTGATGCCTGGAGCGTAATCTGATATATATATAGAATTGAACTGGGCTGTGTTGGTTGGTTTCTAATTATATGCTCCATGTACCCATGGAATCATCCTGGCCAACATCCCCCCCCCCCGGGAACCCACACTGGATATTAGGGTGGTCAGCTTTGTGAAAAGGGCTTGGGGAATATTTTCAGTGTTATACCAGGTATTAAAATTCAGTTGAAGTCATTTGCTAGTGAGTGACTCTAAGGGCCAGATACAGCAGGAAGAGGACGGGATCAAGTAACAATCCCAGTTTCCTGCAGTTCAAGAATCTTTGACATGGATCAGCAGCCATCAGAAAGTGGTTTCCAGATCTATTAATGAAATCACAGGAAGTGATCTTTTAGGAGGATATATATTTATTAGTTATCTGAAATATTTTTACCCCACCTTCCTCCTTAAAAAAGATTCAAGGCATTTTTTCTATACATCATCCTTTTACTGGAGAACTGTGTGATGAAGCACAGAATATTGATGAGCATCTTTTTATCTGAAGTAAGAGGGTTATTTGGAAACTGGAAAAATGAAACGAAAAAGGGAAAGGAATTGAAAATATAGCCATCAACATTTAGCACAGGTTCTTTGTAATTTTGTATTCTTTGGATATTTCTCTATGTTTGAAAACATTCCTTCCAAAATAGGTTAGAAGGGGTGGGTGGGGGAATCAGAAGAAAACACAGCTTGAAAACAACGGAAATGAAAAAAATTACATCAACTTTTTTTAAGCCACACACACATGTGGATGGAAGAAACAGAAGATTTGAAACATAATGGTGGTGTTATTCTGAAGAAAAAGCCTGCTGATATCAAACCTATGAAATGCTTTTAGGAGGTTTGATTTTTAAAACAAAAGGATTACATGCCAAATGAAAAGACCTCCAGATACAAATAATTTCATTATTCCCTTGTTAATCTGTTAGTATTACCATGCTAAACTGCAATGCAAATGCTACAGATTTTGTTGTTTTTCTGCAAACATTTGAGTGTATGGACAGGAATGGATAAGTTTGCATTTACGACGGGTTCATTCATCTATTTGCTCAGTTACTTCTCTTTGAAACTTGAATGAACACTCCTTTACAGGGAAGGTGGGTTGGATCCAACTTTGCTGGGTGATATAAATCTTGGAGGGCTCAGCCCAGCTGCTATATGAGGCCGATCTTCCTGCACTTGCCTCAGTTTCAAGGACGTCTCCTCGAGAGCTGGTCATTTGATTCTCTCTCTATCTGGTCCCTTTGTTTCTTCTTTCCTCATCTTTTCTGTTGCCACCTACACACACACACTTTTAAAAAATCGCAATGTTAGCCAAATGCCGCCTCTTCATGCCCGGTTTGTGCACCTCAAGTAGTTTCAGGATCTCTCCTGGGCTGGAAGATGCGCCATCCTTGGACTGCCACAAGCTTCTTCTTCACAGTGCCGCTAGTGAGCTGTACCCCTCGCCTCTTGAAGGGAAACGGGCTCGGCCATTTAACGAACTGCCCGGCAACTGGAGGAACAGCTGGTTCAACCTCTACCTTTTCTGGAAGAAAGGGGGCTTCCAGAACCTGCACAACATCATGAGGCACAATTTTGAAACCTTTGGGCCAATTTACAGGTAAGGAACATCCCATAGGTGGGTGTTGTCTTTTCTTCTGTGGGTTGCCTTCTTCTTTTCTTTTCTTTTCCTTTCCTCAAACTTTCAGAACATGTTTCTCCCACAGGATCAGTTTAACCGACCTGACGTTGCTTCAGCAGAGGTCCATTTATCCTGGTCAGTGGCTTCTCTGCCTTACCTTGGCAAGCCCCATCAGGTGATATTGTCACTTGATTTTATTTTATTTGCCTAATGTGTCGGTGCAGTCACTTCAGATGAATAATCACATGGGTTTCTTAGGAAAGAAGGTATATCCCCCCATCCCTGGGCCTGATCCCTCTCTGGCCCTTTACTCCCTCCAGCATAGCAGAACGGCTCATGGTGTGGGCTTTGAAAAATTCAAAAAAGAAGATTTATGGGGGAAAGACTCTGAAATAATTCTGTGCTCTTTATTTATTATTGCAGTGCCATCCCTGCTGTAGTGTGTGTGGGGGGTGGTGGGTTCTCAGATCCAATGGTCTGTGGTCAAGGATAATGGGAGCTGTAGTCTAACAAAAGCTGGAAGGCTGCACCTTCTAGTCTTTGGCTCTTTGAGTTCTCAGCATCCCTAACCTTTAGGCATGCTGGCCGTAGCTTTTGGGAGTTGAAGTCCCAAGCACCTGGATTGCCAAAGGATGGACACCTACTGTCTTGGTATGTTGGTTAGGTGTCTTGCTGCAGAGCCAGAAGTTGGGAGTTTGATTCCTTTTGAGTCAATGAGGTGACAACGGAACTTTCAAGCTGTGCAGATCAGCCTAAAAGCCATCCAAAGATGAGGAAAATAGTGACAAAAATATGTTTCTTCTTTTCATTGACAAGGTTCCTGGATGTTAGTAGTGTAAATGGCAAATCTTCCTTATGTTCTTCACAAATGGGAACAGTTTTCCAAATGGACCCATTTGCTTTTCCAGCTGAAGCCAAAAGCATGCATTTCAGCAGGCTGGCAATCTTTTGTTGAAACTGAATGTATTTTTGGAGTTAGACATACAGTATTTAATTGGAAGTATTTGCTGCTAAATTAAAAGGAAGTTGTTGTGGGTTTTTCGGGCTCTTTGGCCGTGTTCTGAAGGTTGTTCTTTCTAACGTTTCGCCAGTCTCTGTGGCCGGCATCTTCAGAGGACAGAACTCTGTAAAAGGAAGTTACTTATGGATTAGCACGTTTAGGATAACAATCCCAATTTTACTGCCAGTCTATTTGATCTGGAAGTCTGCATTTTATGGTGGAGTTCCATTCTATTTTTGGAGTTAGACATACAGTATTTAATTGGAAGTATTTGCTGCTAAATTAAAAGGAAGTTGTTGTGGGTTTTTCGGGCTCTTTGGCCGTGTTCTGAAGGTTGTTCTTTCTAACGTTTCGCCAGTCTCTGTGGCCGACATCTTCAGAGGACAGAACTCTGTCTGTAAAAGGAAGTTACTAATGGATTAGCACGTTTAGGATAACAGTCCCAATTTTACTGCCAGTCTATTTGATTTGGAAGTCTGCATTTTATGGTGGAGTTCAATTTCTTTGAGTGTAAATAACTGAAATTCAAATGTATCACTGTTATCACCAATTATAATCAATGCTCAGACAAATTACTCTATTGGTCTACAAATCCCAGCAAGCCCCAGTCTCACCCATGCTGGCTAAAAATTCTGGGAGATCTCTCCAAGTTTTCCTGGGTCATTTCATGCCCCGAACAGACTGATTTCTCCTATGTAGAATGTTAAAAGATTTTCTTCTGTCTGCTTGTTGGTTATCAGTTGAAGACACTTGCCAGTGAGAGCAAGAAATGGGAAGCATGATTAGATCTGGCATTTGATAGGGTTGACCATTGTAGCTCTTTTATAGTACTGTAGATCATCTCCTCCTGCTGCTCTTATTTTATAATATTATGTTTCTAGCATTTATTTTATTTTCCAAAAGCTATCTTGGTGGTCTCAGACTTCAGAACTCTGCCCAGTTATCTGGAAATAACCCCCACTAAAAGCAGCAGGGTTATCCTTGTAGGTTTGAGCTGTAAACAAAATCTTTTATCAATGGTTCCTTACAAGCAAATTTCAGTTATCTAGAGCTGATGTGGTGCCACGAGATTCATTGTGGGTGAGTTGTAAGCAGGTCTGGTGAGCCCTGGGATCAAAGCAGGAACTTTTTAATTATCAGCAATCTCCCCCTGCCAGTAGCATCATCAGCCTTACACAACTGTGATATTTAACCAACAGAATTTTGGTCATAGGTTGGCTATACATCTTCTCTCCTGGTTTGAAAAGTATTGCACTTATATTTTAATTGTAGCAGTTCTTCCTAAATTTGCATGTATTCACAGATGCACATTTTATGCAAACTGGTCTAAAACCGCCCCCCCTTTTGTGCATGCATTCCTTTTCAGGATGCTACGTGAAAGTGTCCACCCTCCACCTACCTTCCTTACTCTGGCATGCTCTGTGTTGGACTACAACTTCTAGAATCTTCCAGCCAGAGGGTATTCTTGAATCCCACAGCCGGGTGGGAGGGAATGTGTTTCTCCAATCTGGGTCTTACTATTTCTTTTAGGAGGACAAAGGGCCCTCCTGAGACCAAATGTGGTGGGCAGAGGGACACACGTGGACTCAGAAGATGTGTATTCAAATCCCCACTCAGTCATGGCAACTCACTGGAGGGTGGCGATGTTAAAACCATTCCTAACATACAGTACCTCACAGCCTTTGAAAACTCTAGTAGGGTTGCTATAAGTTGAATGCAGCAGGATGGCACATAAGAATAAAAAGACAGGAAGTCTTCTCTTGTGATCCTTTAAGTAAGCTCTGATTTTAACGGGAGCCCCCCTTGCTGACATCCCGATGACTTATCTCAGTATGTAGACATTCGTACATTTTCCTCTGAGGTTTTGCTCCATGCTGTTTTGTCCGTCCCAAACATTTTTTGATGCTTTGCACCACATCTGTTTCTCAAGTCTCAGGTCTCAAGCCTCCATCCAAAAGGGGCAGGATTGCGGTGGTTTTGCGCTATACGCAGTGGTTCCTAACCTTGGTTTACTCAGGTGTTTTTGAACTACAACTCCCAGAAACCCCAGCCAGCACAGCTGGTGGTGAAGGCTTCTGGGAGTTGCAGTCCAAAAACAACTGAGTAACCCAAGGTTAAGAACCACTGCGCTATAGCACTTTCCAAATCTTTAAAAAAAGTGGTGGTGGGGAGATGGAAGGAAATCAATGTGTCAGCTGAGAGATGTAGACATGGCACAGCACTAATAAGACCTGGAAGCATCTTCCAGTAGTCCCATCTATCTATCTATCTATCTATCTATCTATCTATCTATCTATCTATCTATCTATCTATCTATCTATCTAT